AAGTGAGTCTCCTGCCTCTGCCTCCCAAGTAGCTGGGACCACAGGCGCCCGCCACAACGCCTGGCTATTTTTTTTCGGTTGCAGCCATCATTGTTGTTTGGCGGGGCCCAGGCTGGATTCGAACCCACCACCCTAGGTGTATGTGGCTGGCGTCTCAGCCACTTGAGCCACAGGCGCGGAGCTGACCATGTCTTATAAAACATAGAATCTCTGCTACAACTTAGTTTGTTATATAGGCTGTGTATGTTGAATTTGTATCTATGAAGTAACAAATTCTATTTCATTTCTTTACAACAGTTTTAACACAGGCTAAACGGTATGCTTTTTTCATGCCAACTCTGCCAAGTCTGGTCTCTTTTTGTCGAGCATTTCCTCCACTGTATGAGGATATCATGTCCTTGCTGATCCAAATAGGACAAGTTTGCGCTTCTGACGTTGCCACTCAGACAAGAGACATTGACCCAATTATTACACGTAAGTGGTAACTCATTTTCAAGATTTATCCTAATATTTCAAACACAGGTCAAATTCCTTTCCAGATTTCTTGGCCTTAATTTTTCTTTTCTTATGTTTTTAGGTCTTCAACAAATAAAGGAGAAACCAAGCGGATGGCCTCAAATCTGTAAAGATCCGTCTTATAAAAATGGATCCAGGGACACTGGGAGTATGGATCCTGATGTACAGCTCTGTCATTGTATTGAAAGCACAGTAGTTGAAATAATAAATATGAGTGTTAGTGGAATTTAAAAAAAATTTAAGACAAAAATATGAAGGTGTTTGGTGCATATACCCAACATGAATCATATAACAGCTCTGAAATGGGAACAGTAATGTCTTGGAATCATTAAAACAATTCAGTTCAACATGAATACTATTTAGAACTTGAGAATTACGCTTGCTTATATTTGATTGGCACATCTTTGGATCTGCTTTGCAGATGTGTCTATTGTAGGAGCCAAGATTTTTTTTCCCTTGGGAGCACATTTAAGAAACTCATTACTGGAAAGGGAGTTTGGCCTTGTATTTAGCTTTTGAAGTGAAGAAAGACTGCCATGCCTTTAATTTCTTATACAAATGGGTCTATGGATAGCCTTAGTAGTGTTTATTTCAATTGTGAGCTTGTAATGGAGTTCAACAAAGATG